CAAAGCAGGGAAATAGGAATTGGTGTGGGGGAAGGGAGGAACTGGAAACAGGGAGGAAAGAGACAAATGAGAAAACACAGAGCGCTCCTCTTCACAGGGAGATAGGAATGGGAACACAAAACAGCTTGCGCATTGCCAAAAGCATTAGCTGTTCATTAGCTGTCTCTGCTCTTCTCCCCACAGGCTGCACGGTGAGACCACTCAGCCAACGGGGGAATCCACGTGTGTGTGTGTATGTGTGTGTGTGTGTGTGTGAGTGAGTGTGAGTGTCTACCTGTGTGTGCATGCACATGCATGTGCAGCAAGCAAGGGAAAAGGCAAGGGATTCCCTCTTAGCTTCATTGAAAGTCTTTTCCTCTTGCTATGTAATGAGTAAGCTTCAAAATGCTGAAGAGGGAGTTTCTAGAAGCTGGTCTACAGCAAACCAGAAATGTAGTAGGTGCTAGGAATGGAGCTGGGCTAGGAATGGAGCTGAGGAACAGGACAACTGCTCCACCTGAGCTACCACCATACCTCCCAGTTCAACGTAATCCATACTCACATCCACTGCTTATCGTTTACTCCACAGTTACCCAGCCGGTGGTGAATGTGTCTAACAGTAAGAACTGCTGGAAGTATGAAATTGAATGAACAGTAATTGTGTATGCTTCATATCAGTCATAAAAACAACAAAAATCGCCTTTCAACACAGTGATTATTTAAACAAGAACAACTATGTTGCAGAAGTATGTATAACAAAACACTGCATTGCTTGTTGGATGCCTATTGTAAGATCACCTCTGATCCAAATAAGGTTCAACTGACCCAATAGTATATTGCATTTAATACATCTCTGTTCTACTGTATTACAGAATGGAATAGGCAACTTTCACAACCACAAGCTAGGACATGAAAGAGGATCAGAGCAATTACTGGCATCTTTTCAGGCTTTGCCTTCAATGCTCCTGGTGCAAACTTGCCATTACAGTACAACCAAGACTGATTTCAACCATGTGGAGAACCTAGGTTGCTTAAATAAGAAAAGATGGAATATAGCATTCTTATACAGAAATGCCATGTCCAGCTCTGGTAATCTATGTTCCTAAAAACCAGCAACCGTAACTTGTTGGATATGTAGGTACATCACCACACAAGCATTTCCCAGAATGCTTAATAAAAACAGATGATTAACTAAAAAAGATTAAGTGGGCAATCTTCTAAGTACTGATTAAACCTAACTCATGACCCAGACAGAGAAGACTTGTGAAAAAAGCAGTGATGTGACAAAAGTTGCAGCGGTTGCAACTAACACGGATTAAAAATAAAAAAATGATCCCTGACGAACTGAGTTTGAGTTAAAAGCCTCTCATTACTAACTACCATAGCAAAACATCAATGGATGGAAGAGATGAAAATACTCAAGAAAAAGCCATAGATTCATTAAGTTTATAGTTTATACCATGTTTTTTTCTGAGACTACATGGGAATACTGATATATTTAGTGTCATGGATACTTGGTAAAAAGTAATTATTTTGGTGCTGCATGTGCTAAGGCTTCAATGAGTGCCAGCTCCATGGGAGGATTTCTGGGACCAGAGACGTCCCTGCCAACAGCAGGGCCTGGCAGGTGGATCCCTGCAGAGCCAGAAGCAACTGGAAGACTGGGGCTGAGCCAACGTTTTCATTGAGGTATCTGTGAGAGTGCCTAAGAATGTGCTTTCCTGAGAAAGCCAAAACTGTTAATTAATATTAATAGTGTTTTCTTCCAGATGAGATCATCTAGAGCTTCCTATTGTTCCAGTTACCCCCAATAATAAATCTCTCATCAGGCTCAGCACATTCAGAGCGTCTCGTACACTTTCTTCTGGCTCAGCGTAAGCCTGTTGAGCTGGAGACACCCATCCCCGCTGCCAGTTCCTGGCGGCACTCACACTTGTCGGAGCACAGCACTATTAGCCCACGTTGTTTCACTTGATACTGCTCCAGCGCACTCACAACTTTCAAGTTACGGAGTCCAGTTTCTGCCATCTTAAAAAGCATAATGGCATTAACACGGCCAAGATCCTCCCGAAGGACACCTCCAACCACGCTGATACTGTGTCATTCACTCCCGCTCCCTTTCCCGGGGAAACCTCCAAGCCGGAGCGCAGCCCTCAGCCAGCCCCACAAGGAAAGCCCCGGGAGCGGCGGCAGGTGAGGGGAGCCCCGCGGCGCTTCCCGCCAGCCCCGCTCCGCGGCCGCAGCGCGGGGGCTCCCCAGGGCCGCGGTGGCGGCGGTGCCTCCCCGG